TTTGTCCATTTCAGCGTTCTTTTTACTCTTTTGACGTTGCGTTGACAGCTTTCACCTAAATTCGCGCGGAATATTTTTGTGAAATGGCTCTTAATAATAACTTGCTATGATGAATACTGGTCACATCGACTAAACTTTGACATGAGTAACAACAACTGTAGTAACTAGAGCTAGAGATGTAATTATTTTCTAACGACATTTTCACAGCACTTTCACGCCTCAGGGGAATGCGGTAGATCATTAAAATATGATGTTTGCTGAAGGCGATAACATCGAGCAAACCTGCGCCTGCGACTAGGAGCGATGAACGCACTGATTACGCATAACTTGAACGACCCGTCGGTGTGGGAGGCATAATGAACACCTGCCATTAAGTTGCTTCAAATAGATCCGGTCCTTCCACAGGTTCTGATATAACGACTCAGCAATACTAGTTTATAAACAGCAGTTGAGTGCTTTGCGTCCCTGGATTTTAATATGTATATTTTCTTATGGAAAAATACAAGCAGCATAGCCAAACATAACAAGTTTAACTTTAGAATTAAAATTTCTAATCTTACTAACTTAATATTTTAGCTGACAAATTCAAACTCTCTGCGAGTTCTTCCTCGATTGTTTCAAGCTCATGATAAGTAGCAAATGGATTTTAATTTAAATCTACATAGAAGAAGAATAACTGTGTCACGCTCAAAGTAACTAGCTCAAACAGCAAGTAGAGTGCAACACTGAATGCGAAAAGCGGAATTGAAAGAAATAGTTTGAAGCACGATCATTCCAACGAACCACGCGTTTCTCGAAGAAAGACAAGTTGTGCAACTTCTAACGTATCTCATGTGCACGTTAAATTACAAAAAGATGTAACAAAAGGTAAAAGGTACCTAAGCGCAAAATAGAGGTCTACCATACCAACTCTCTCTACCAATTCTGGACTCTACCAAAAGTCAAGTATGATAACATTTGGCTAATTTACCGGAATTCTGAAGTATTCTGCGGTACAATAGTTGCGGTATTCATAATTGAAAAGCCGTAACTACAAGTTCGTCTCGCATTATGAAATTATGGTCGATTAAATATTCCCATCACGCAACGGTTCGGCTTGACCGTGCGTTTGACGTAACGTGTTTAGTTCGAGTATAAAGAAAGGTACGATGTTAGTCACCGTGTTCCCTCAATGCCAAGGTTGGGGCATCGCATTCGGCGGTACTCAAAACTGGTTGTAAGTCGGTCACCGCTGGCTCGGCCTCCTCTGGCCAACGCAACGGTCCGCGACCGGTAAATTCGCTCCGCTAATCCGAAGTGACTCTTTTCTGTCGACGAGCGATTGCATTATACAGTTAATATCAAAATGCACTACCAGTTCCAACGGATCTTGTAATCATGCGATGCAAATTCCTGCGGATTTCTTTTGACTACGCTCCATTCAAATGCAAATCGCCGTGTTATTTATAGATATTTTCTGCTTGAATGATCTTTTCACATCACTTATTCAATAGGTAGCTTTATAAGAAGCCAGTTTCAATCAGAATTATTTAATATTTATGTGGACGTGCGTTTTAAATACCCATGATTATCGTCCTTAGAATTCTGATAACCAGTAGAGACGCCGATAGTTATTTTTATCTACGAGTAAAGTATTTATGATTGCAGCGATCGCGATAGTACAAGTTGTTGAAATCACACGGATCTCGACAATAATAAAAAGATAAATGCTCTACAGTCTGTATGGTCATTTAAAGTGGCGTAAAATACTGATACGATCTGGTGCATCGTCAGTCGTCACTCATCGCCTTCGCTAGAGAAAGTAAGACTGTAACAAATTATGGCATAGGGAAAAACTGCATAATTACATTGTTAACGTAAGCGATACAAGATGCCGCGCCGCGATATGTGAACAACAAGCCTGACGATCGACGACATGGAACGGTTTTGGTATTTCCGCAAAAACTTTATGGTCGTTTTAATTAACGTACTATTAATGTAACATTATAAACGTGACCACGAAATTATCATCAGATTCGACAATTGAATCAGTATTTTGTAGCAAAAGTAGTTTCAATTGAAAGATATTAGTTACAGAAGATTAAAAGATTGCGATTTCATGGGAAATAAAAGGGGCATTGCGACTTTTCTCCGATTTATTCTATCCGAAAAGGAATTAAATGCGATCGCAATGCAAAGTTTCCACAAACCGCCAAAACGTCGCTACCAACCGGCCTTTGTGGGAAATCTTTGGGGGATGCCTATGTTTAGCAGAGGACGTCCTATGGCTGAAATGATGATGATGGTGAACGCAAAGGTACCAGAAACCTTCTGAAATCGTAATCAGGACTTTGACCATCGCATTCAGCTGAAATATACTTCAGGCTAATTACACCATGACGATGGCGCATCAGAGACAATTGGCAGTAGCTGATGTCAAGCAATGAGGTCAAGCCGTATCAATATGTGCAGGTTAACGAATAAATCATCGCCGGGGCGCACAGGGCCATATCAATTGATGCCCCTCGCTGCTGATGACGCGCGGGAAACCTCGCAGCTGTAGGGAACTGCGCAGGATCGGTCTGAAACTGACTATAACCGGCGACGAAAATAATAGCCAGTCAAGCAACAATCGCTCAAACAAAAACAATAAACAATAATTCGAAATTTTAATCGCCGTTTTAAAAATAACGCCGAACAAAGTTACCCAACCACGGTAAGTAGACTGTGTTAAACTTTGTCTTACGAACAGACTGAAGTAGTAATATCTCAGCTGTTTTATACGCAACACAACGGAGACTCGGCGGAAACATAACATTTAATTTACTGTTTAATTTGCTGCCATTAAAATTCATGAGATCGTTTTTGCTGTTCCTATTCATTTATTTTGCAATGTTGTAAAATGGGTCACGTCAGAGTTGATTTATTATCTAGAGTGCATTTGCGGGCCACTTTCTCCGGTTAATCTCGCTGCAGCTTCCAGGCGTTATATTCTAATGATGAATTAAGTGAAGCTTTCTCGTACGTGCGTAATCTGGGATAAATGGTAGTGGTAAAGATTGAGTGAGTGCGTTCAAAGCGGATAGTATCCCGTTAGTGGCAGATAATCTCCGAGCCGATTGAGTAACGGTACCGAGCCCACGGGCCGGGCTCCGGTCAAGACGGGCAGGCAAGCAAGGCGAAGGCGCTGTACCGTGGCGTCCGTCAACAGAAGCCTTGCAAGAGCGATCGATATCGCGTTACGTGGGAATACAGCTAGAGTACTGCTTATTATGAACACTTTCCGTATTTACCAAACTATTTTTACAATCTATTAATGAAACTATGTCGAAATAAAGACATTACGAACAGGATTGCCTTTTACGACAACAATTATTTTGATGGTAACTGACGTTAACAGCGGACGCGCACTTTCTAAATCCTCACGTCTCTGGTTAAAGTTGCCAAATCATCAATACTATGTCAATCATTACCAGTGGGAATACTGAGTCATGTTTTAAGATGCACTTTCACTGTTTGCTGAAGCACTTTAATGCAGCTTACATGTAAGTAATTGGAGGGAAAGCTCAGTATCAGTTCGGCGAGGATAACAACGTTTCTAAAATATCTTAAGCTCTAGACTAGCATCTAGATTCGAGACTCAAGCTTTCGATATAATTCGTTCAACTAATCGAGAATATTCTGTAAACAAAAACTTTAAACAAAAACATGATTATTTCCATAGTTAGACTTGGTTCTCATGAACTAAGTACCTGAAGTAAAATAAAATGCTTTCTGCATCTGCTCTGCTGAATCATTCAGTGTAATCGTGCGCATATTAAATTATATTATTTAAATAAATTACACCACACATTCTATATTAGTCTGTTCTAAGAAATGGTGCCTCCATTATGAGTGAGCATGTAATATGGCAACAGTTTGTTTGTACAAATGTTTAAGAACATTTCGTTGTTGGAATAAACAAAGTTAGCGGGGGTCACTGTCAACGCTCGGAGCATTATGGATTTGAATATCGATCTTGCACGTGTTACTTCTATCTCTTTTCTTTTTGACCAATAAGAGTGAGTGAGTGAGACTATGTTATGGTTATGCTAGGGTTCGGATGTCCGTGTTTCCGTTGACTACCGGCGCGTGACCGTGCCTTCCGTTGTTGGGGTGCTGACATTTACCAGCGTTGTTTTAACTGCGATGACGTCATCGGCCAACAAAAACCGTCTGGTCGAGTAATCATTGCGACGCTTAGTTCCAACCGGTACCAAGCTATAGGTAATTAATTTTGCAATCGACACCAGAACCACAAACAGAACTAAAAGAGTAATTTTTCGTACCGATTGTATCAACAAGATATGGTAGGTACTTACTTTGTACTGCATGTTGATCGGCAGTTAAATGTTATCTTACGTAAAGCATCGGATAATGCAATTTGAAGTAGGTACCTCCTTACATAGGTTGCGTGACGAGGATCGCAGAGTAATAAGTCCCGTACATAATTTGTGACAAACCAAAATCAGAGGAGGTTTCCTTTGCTAGGTAACGGATGGTATTTTCGAGTTAGATCGATACTCGAACCATGACGCAAGAAAACTTTGCTTACGTTCTATACTTTGGGGACTATCGATAACACTTTAATTACAAAATTTCTTTTAAGCCCAACTGTTCCGTTTCTTTCATGTATTTCATGAGCATTCTAGGACATTTAAGAACCTAGGTTAATATTGTTTAAAATTATCACATCTCGGATTAATATACCTAGTTAAGAAAAGCTTGGAAGCTTTAATAAGTGCAAAATTTTGACTTGAAATTCCCATAGAGTCTCAATATTATGAAGACCCACTGACACACATTAATTGAACATGTTACTAAGCTAGATTAAAATAAAAGATATAAATTGCAATAGGTAACATTCCAGCCCGATAAAAATGCGACAGTCTTATCTTATCATCATCATCATCATTACTCGCTGCCCAAGGTGTTGCCAATCTGAACACTAATACCAAGGAATGAAAAATAAAATATAATTATACAAAACTGAAAAACATTTATTACGTAATAAAATAATTATAAATAATACAAAATAAAAAATATTCCCCAAATTATCACATTTGACGCCTGTTCCCAAACGAAATGCCACTTTGTTGACCTTTGTTGGTGCCGTACTGCAGGGAAATTACGTTTTGGCCCGACTTCAACTGTTCCTCGGAGAAGTTGCGCACGTTCTTTTCGGCTTCCTTGGGCCCGATGGAGGGCTTGCCGTAGTTACCAGCCTTTCTACCGAGCGACTGCAGACAGATGAGCACAGAATAAAGGTTCTGCTTCTCCCACAGGTCGATCGTCTGGAAAGTTTCCTGCGGAGGCACGCCCAATTTCTTAGCCGCTTCTAGGAACGCGTTGATGTTCTCCATGCATTTGAACGCCATGGTGGACTGGTTGATTTTCTTCACCGATCCCTCTTCGATGGCGTTGACGAGTTTGCAGAGGAGGGTGCCATCCTTGAGCACCGCGTAGACGTTTTCTGCGTCGCCAGAGGTATTGGATGGCTCGCCGGTCAGCTCCTTGACCCACTCCAGGATCTCCTGGCCGATGTCGTCGTTGTACTTGCTATTGATGCGCGCCTGGGCGTCGGCGTTGATGCCAGATTTGTTCGCGCGGTACTCGGCCATTTCTGTGCTGTCAGGTTTGCGGACACGTAACCACTGAACGCCGCCCGATAAGCACTCTTACAATATCACTATCATAATACTTTTGATAGCGATTATCGCGTACCACGAAAGCATTTAAAGTATATGATTCTATTCCACTTTATCGGGTGGTATAAATGATGATTAATAAATTGCTACAATTGCTGGCCATAAAACTGTTTGATATTGGCTTGAACAGCTAAGGGAATCATTAGGCACATACTTTGATTAACAATACGTTTATACGCTATAATTGTTATTGACCAATATTTATGGACAAATTACCTACTAAGGCACACCTATAGACCATTCTAGAAAGCCGATCAGTTTATCGGTTTCATACACGATTGGTAGATTTTATGAACGATAGCTGATAGATAACAAAGCACCGACATAATTATACATAATGAATAAGTTTGTGTCCCTCTTTTTCGCAGGCGCGGATCCACCGTTGTGGGCACTGTGGGCATGCCCACAACCCTAATTTGCTTGTTTTAATTATGATCTATTGATAAGTTCGATAGGCATTTAATGTCCGGGCATGTAGTGACTCTCACTTTGCTAATTTTTGGTGGCTGTGCCCACAACCTTTTTTGAGAGCTGGATCCGCGCCTGCTTTTTCGATGAGTATGAAGTAGATAGGTAGGTACTAGGATTAGCTCAGGATTTCGAAATAGCTAAAGGCTAACGTTGGCAAAAGCTGTGTAGGTATGAACCGGTCCCATGCGTATTCAATCAATACTAGCGATTCAGCTGGACCGCAATTATACGTAACAATTCCGACAGGTTTGGAGGAGAGAAGTTTCATCACAGGAACTTTCGGCCTGGAGGTTTTAGCCTAGGCGCAGACCAGCGACTTTTAGTTGGCCGATAGTTGGGTCGGGCTGTTAATCGGTATGGAGAATATGGAAGTGCGCACATTACACCGATCCACCGATTACATTTGGTGTCGGCCGATTCTTCATACAAATTAAAATCGGGCCCAACTAGAAGTCGGTGGTCTGCCCCTAGGCTTAGATGACGACCCTAAAATTCTCCGAAGCGTATTTACGACAGCAGTCGGTCGGCTGCAGCCGTCATTTTCCGACACTAGAGGCGAATCTCCACAACTTACATTTTCCAATTGGCAAGTGGTGTTGCATTGTTAGCGAACAGCCTTGTTTCGTGGCACAGATATGCAATTTTTATTGTGTTTTATTGTCTGCCGAAACACAATGGCCATACGGCAGATTGCTGCGAACAAAGACTATCACAGAATAGCCTGATAAAATCGCACAAACAATTTTCAGCTGATAGCAGGCTTACCTTCAATATTTAGTTTCATAAGAATAATTGATTGAAAATAAATTCGAGCTAATGATTACTGGTTTAAAATATCATTATTTAAAAACTAATTAAGAATCATTGCATAATTAATACTCTACTCATAACTGCTCATAATGTTTTTTTACTAATTAAATTATTTGTATTGAGTTTTGCTAGTAGATGGCCTAATGAACTCATACCACAGAATAATAAATGGTCAAAACAACATTTCAAGACAATAAAGGACTTATTACAAAAGCCCGTTAAACAGATGTTTAAATTGTCTTTTAGTATGGAAATGTCATTTTAAATAATTTTTAAGACATGTGTAAATAAACACAAACGAGTGGAATTTTTAACATCCATGTATGACATGTAAAGAAAATGCCTTCAAGGGAATAAAACAAATATTAATCAAAATTCTATACAACAAAACAATCATTCCATCCAGAGCAGAAAATGTTTCTGTTTGTCTACATTCTCTGCATTTAGAATCTAATGCAGAAAGGTACAGATGCATATCTGTATTGATTATTTCTTCAAATTTCATTTTGTTTCTCGGTGGACATTGAAGAGAAGAAACTAAGATGATTAGGTAATTTTAATGAAACTGACAAGTAATATTTCGAAGAATAGGATTGGTAAAATAAACTGCAAGTGTCCTTGTCAAAACTTTTATTTCATTTATAAACTTATTTGTAGCAGTAAATATAAAATGAAATAAACTGAAATCAAGTAGGCATGCAAAGAATATCTCGTAAAAATGTATTATCGGTACATATACCTACATCTATAATCACAGGATTTTTTCAAATAGCAAATTACATATTTTATGTAGTAGACATTTCACAAGAAATACTACCCAGATAAAGTTATATAGGATTATTCTAGTAAAAATGACAAAAGTTAACAAAATTAATCTGCCAACAGAACTTAATCTATCTGGCTATCAACTTATCAGAGCACCTTTGTTAAATGTAATTAAATATTCTATGAATAACGTAAGTATCACTGATTACTCAGATTGGTATTGTAGATACTAGAGAGGCGAGTGATAGAGGTTTAGTAACAAAGTTGAACAACAAATAAGTTTTATTGTTTCTTTTCTTTTATGATGTGGCACAAACAAAATTCCCTGCAACTATTCGTGATTTTCAAACTCACTTTAGTTCTAAAGGATTTTTACCTTCTATGTAAATCGACAAAACAAGTTTGAATCCAATAAGATTCTAATAAGTGTCACGTCTGATACGTAGTGAAATGACTAAGCAATGGTAGTAGGTATTTTCGTGATAAGATCATAGTCAAATAAAATAGGTGAAACAAAGGTACGCAGGTAACTTTGCAAAAATAGCAATACAAACTTACCGAAATCTATGTAGAAATGAATAAATCCACTTAACACAATTCGCAAACGATTAGCAGTCAATGAGCATTGTATTTTTCACAAAACACTTCACATTCACGAGTTAAACTTTTATTTTATGCAGTAAGCAGCAAGCCGACCGGTCTCGCCACAAGAATTTTGTTGACAGCGCTCGAAAAACTAAGTTACCTTTCGTTCAGAAATGTGCTATGTTTGTCCCCCACCACGTGACATTTCAAATTTATTATCTGTGCTTGATTTCTATTGGCTGGTTACAGAAACGTGGAAGTGGTGGAAGTTATAGGGATGTTCGCACACATTAAATCGATAAAAATTGTTCGACAGCTTATCTGATTACTTACAGACGCGCTTCTTCGATTTCTTCGATTCTGCGATACGGATTGGTCAAAACAGCTGACGTCGTCAGTTTGTTTGACTAATCCATATCGCAGAATCGAAGAAGCGCGTCTGTATTGGCTATTGGAGACGTTAAAAATTAGCGTAATCGGGGCACGACTGTATCACTGTACAATACGTTTTCGGTTCTTGAATACTATTTGAGATTTTTCTCTCCCAGTTCTATGACCTAGTGTAATTTTTATGCACCTATTGCCATTTAAGTTTGGTAAATAAGCGGGATAAATTGTTTACGGGCAAATCGGAAATGAGGAGAACCAAATAATATTTTTTCTCATTTCTGATGACTGATCTGATTGATACTGATCTAATGATAGTTTATATTCGTGTAAACTATTGCAGTAAGCACAACACTATTTCACTCATTGAAGTTTTGACAGCTTTCGTTCAGAAATCGGATGTTTTTGATTATTTATAAAATAACAGGCAGTTTCGTAAAAAAAGAAATAATATTTATAATTTCATTTGACTAGGTTGTATTTACTTATTACTTGCAAAGGAAATTAGAGGCCGGTAAAAAAAAAGTAAATAAATGCAAAATTAACGAATTCGGCTACGGGATACTCTCTCATCTGTGGCTACGAATACCTAACTGCCCACTTATACTCCATAAATATTTACTTAACTTTTTATACCTAGTAGGACTGCTGCTTTATTATTTTTGAATACGAATACAATGTAAAAAAATAATTTATTTAATATTTTATTCTTTAAATCTTCCCTTGAGTTATTGCTCTACGCGGTCCGAGAATTAAAGCATTTTTGTATGTATTAAATACATTCAAAAATGCTTTGTATTTATCTAATGCTTATTAAATTTTGTAATGTATACCTTCTACAAGCCCAATAGACCCTATTAAAATAAAATAAATAATAATCATCATTAGACATGCCACGAATATTCGGCTACTATTCGGTATTCGGCCTATTCGGCCACTTTGTTTGGTATTCGGTATTCGGCCGAATAATAGGTACTATTCGGCCGAATACCGAATACCAAATCATGGAAAAAAAAGACACATCATATTAATCAAGATTTGCCTTCATTATCAAATTACAATACTTTAATAAGTAAAATTAATCAGCGGTAAGTTGTGATGGATAAAAACAAGCTTTTCAGCATTTGACGGTAGCAAACGATTACGCTTTTCATCATAAATGATACCAGCTTCAGAAAACAACCTCTCACTATACACGTTACTCCCGGGAGAAAAAAGATAAACTTTAGCTCGAGAGGTTTGGGTATTGTTTTTCATTAAGGTTAGACCAGACCAACGCGTGCAGCCGGCGTGCACGATGACGATGGCGATGGCGACCAGACAGCGTGTATGAATTTGTAGCGATCAGTATTGTTCCTGACAAATTTAGGGTTGCCGTATTCTAATTCTAAAATTGCCGGATTTTTAAGGAAAACTTAGAAAAATTGCCGTATTGTACAACATGCTTACTTGGAAGGTTAAAATTAAAAAAAAATGTTGATGTATTATGTACTATAAGTACGTAAACTACTTTTAAACTTACTTATTTTATTCTTCACTTTTAAAGGTTTTGAATAGTTTAGTTCTAGAACCTACCCGAATAAAAGTGAAAAATCTACCAAAATGAGGAACTAACGATTTTAGACATTAATATCTCGGGATAAGGTTGCATTTGGTTGAATTCTGTTGACGTTTCTTTTCATGGCGCTTCTACTTCATCTATGATTAACAATTTGGTGCGTTCCATTAGACGAAATATTTTTTTTTGTTTACTAAAACTCATGAAAAACTCATAAAACTCTACATTAATCAATTGCCGTATATTTTGATACGGTAATGAAAGAGCTGCCGTATACCGTATTTAGGGTGCCTAAGATGCCTGAATGCCGTATATTACGGCAATTGCCGTATCAAGAACATCACTGGTAGCGATGTGTTCACATCAACGCGTCCTGTCATTGGTCGCGGCGATC